TGTATATTATGGGAAAGAGAAGATAGTATTTTATCTAATATGGATTTGTTATATAAGAATATTATTTACAGAACAGCATATTGACATGGTTTTATTACATGTATTTAATAGTCATAAACATAGCCTAAAAGGAAGAGAGGAAATGGTGTCTGTCAATCAATGAGAGCAATAATTCAGTGCTAATTACCATGTCCATATAGATTAAATGAACATAAGAATTGATAATAATAATTTAATTTTTAGTACTTTAAGTACTGAAGTTGAGTGCAATTAAATTTAAAATGACAAGCATCAGAGGATCATAATTTCTAAGAAATTAGTAGTTTTACCAAATTTATATAATAATGTTTGATCTTAGCTAAATAATTCAGGGAAATGTGTAAAATTAAGTTACCTGTGCTGATTATTGCATATATATGGAAGGTATAATTTAAAATGTTTCAGTAGGGTCAAACTCTTGATATTTCTTTAAATAATTTTTTAAAATTTTAAAGTATTTTAAAATTAAATTTGTACTTTTATTAAAAAGTAGTATTTAACATAAAGACTCATGTGCTTGAAAATGTAATGTATACTTATTGGTGGGCCCCTTCTAGAGAAAATATGTATGTTGTCAGCCATATTACAATCAAATCTTATTTGCTAATTGAAGATACCACTGTTATAGATAAGCAAAATTAACAAAATACACAATCATTTATATTTTTGTAATTAGAGGGATTTATTATTCATTTCCACTCATTGAAATTATTTGTGTGCCTTAAGCATACTCTGACTTAAAAAAGCAAAACTTGTGCTCAGTGATTGAGCATCGACCTATGAAACTGGAGGTCACTGTTCAATTCCCAGTCAGGGCACATGCCCGGGTTGCAAATTTGACCCCCAGTGCGGGGTATGCAGGAGGCAGCCGATGAATGATTTCTCTCTCATCATTGTGTTTCTAACTCTCTCTCCCTCTCCCTTCCTCTCTGAAATCAATAAAAATATATATTTTTTTAAAAGCAAAACTTGAATAACTTAGAAAAATAGTCTAAGGTTTACACATGGTATAAGGATTAAAGGGGAACACTGATTTACATTATAGAAAATAAAATATTGACTCTTACCTAATATCAGATTACATTGATAATACAAACCTCCATTAAAAATAACATTAAGATTTATATTGTAGTGAAATACTAATAAAGTAGTACTTCATCTTTAAAAATAGCATAATTTTAAAAAATATATAGTATATATGAGTATAATTGTGGTTTTACAACTTTCAAAACTATATACTTTGAAAATAAAACTTTATATTTAGAGGTTGCACTGAATTCAGTTTAACATAAGCCACTGCTTGCTTATAAAAAAATGTACTTCATATAAGTTTAAGTAAAATATAGTTTTAGGTACAAAAAACAAATTTATTAACCTCATTTGTGAAGATAAGAAATTTATTTTTCTGAATTTTTCAAAGGTATACTGTTTAACTATTTGTATTAGTTACCTAGGGCTACCATAAAAAGCCACCACATACTTAGTGGCATAAAACAACAGCAATTCATCTCTTAGTTTAGAGGCCAGAAGTATGATATCAAGGTGATGGCAAGGTTGGTTGCTTCTGGAGGCTCTTAGAGAATCCATTCATGCCTCTCTTTTAGAATAGCTTCTGGTAGCAGCTGCAATCCTTGGTTTTCCTTGGCTATAGGTTAACATTATTCCTTTTTTTTTTTCTTCCTCTTCCTCTTCCTCCCCTCCCTCCACTTTCCCTCCCCTCCTCTCCCCCCTCCTCCTTCCTCCCCTTCCTCCTCCTCCTTCCCCTCCTCTTCCTCCTCTTTGAAAGAGGTGGGGAAGACAAACATCTGAGTGAGTGAGAAACTTGGATCAGTTGCTTCCTGTACATGCCCAGACGGGGATCAAACCCATAACCTAGGTATGTGCCCTGACCTGGAGTCAAACCCACAATCTTTTGATTACAAAACGATGCTCCACTCAACCGAGCTACCCAGCCAGGGCTAGCATGCCTCCACTTTCTGTCTCCAGTTCACACATCTTTACTCTGTATTAAATCTCCCTCTCCTTTTACCAGTATATAGATACCAGTCACTGGATTAAGGGCCTACCCTAAGTCCAAGGTGATCTTGCTTCAAGACCGTTAACTTTATCATATCCACAAATATCTTATTTCCAATAAGGTCCATTCTTAAGCAATCTACCCTTGCTGGTTGGCTCAGAGTATAGTGTCAGCCTGCGGACCAAAGGGTTCCAGGTTTGATTCCAGTCAAGGGCACATACCTGGGATTATTTAACTTGGTTGCAGGCTCTAATGTTTTTCAGTCTTTCCTCTTCAACTCTCTAAAAATAAATGGAAAAATATTCTCAAATGAGAATTAAAAAAAAAAAAAGGGCATATCTTTTGGGGGGACACAATTTAACCCACTTGTGTATTACAGGATTGTGTTTTTTTGTATGCTTCAGTTTCTGAAAATGGTTTTACAAGCCATTTTGTGTTGTTTATTAAAATGGTAGCAATCATGTTTTGAATACCTATGAGTTGCTGTTAAAAGGGAAATGAAATATCGGGTCTAGTAATAATTAATGTCGTTTTTAAACATTCGTTTAAAATCTTGCTTGGCGTTGACTTGTATTGACATAACCTTCAAACACGTGGTATCTACAGAACGTGTGAAGTGCAGTTAACAAGTTTTGCTTGAAAAAGTTTGTGTTTGGTTTGGTTTTTGTTGCAAAACTAGGTCTAAGAAGATGGCGGATGAAGAGCATATTCGGCACTGCATGCTTTACGAGTTCCAATTAGGAAGAAAAGCAAGTGAGGCTGCAAAAAACATCTGTAGTGCTCTTGGTCAAGATGCAGTTAGCGCCAGAAAATGCCAGAGTTGGTTTGAGAAATTTCGCGAGGGAAATTTTTCGTTAGATGACAAGAGTGGTCGAGGCCGTGTGTCCAATTTTGATCAAGAAGCTCTTCAAGCTCTTTTGGTACAAAATCCTCAAATTACCCAACAAGAGCTTGCGGCAACTTTAAATTGTTCACAGAAAACAATTTCCAATCAATTGTGTGCACTTGGCAAAGTCCAAAAGTTTGGAAAATGGGTTCCTCATGAGTTGACCGACAACAACCGTAATCAAAGAGTCACAATTTGCAGTTCGCTCCTCTCTCGTCAAAACCGTTTGCCGTTTTTAGAGCAAATTGTTACCGGACATGAACAATGGGTGTTGTATGTTAATTTGAAAAGGCGGCCTCAATGGTTGGACAAAAATGAGGCTCCGCAGCTCACGCCAAAACCTGACTTGCATGCGAAAAAAGTGATGTGTGTTTGGTGGAATTTTAAAGGAATTCTTCATTATGAACTTTTACCATCTAACCAAACCATTACAAGTGCAGTGTATAGGGCCCAATTGGAAAGGTTAGCCCAAGCTTTAAGAGAAAAAGAACCCGCGCTGATTAATCGGAAGGGCGTAATTCTTCACCACGATAACGCACGACCGCGTACTGCAAGAATCACTGCTGAAAAACTGCGCCAGTTGGAATGGGAAGTTCTCCCTCAACCTGCATATTCTCCTGATATTGCCCCTTCCGATTACCATTTGTTTCGTTCTTTGCAAAACTTTCTTCTTGGAAAAAAATTTAATAATGAAGAATGCCTCAAAAATGCATTGACCGAATTTTTTGCATCAAAATCACAAGAATTTTACAACAGAGGGATTAAAATGCTTCCTGAGCGTTGGGCACAAGTAGTAGAAAACAACGGCAACTATATTGTTGATTAAATTTTGTTGTTTAAATAAATTCGATTTTTAAAAAAGTATTAGAAAACGACATTAATTATTACTAGACCTAATATTAGGAGCCCTGCTCTGAAATTTTAAATTCTGGTGGACACAAACACAACTAAATTTGAGTTGAAATGTGATAAGTACCATGGAATATTGCTAAAGGTTCCATAAGAATGTAGAATAAACATAAGAGTCATTAGGGAAGGACTTATTAAAGAGAATCTTATTTGAATTTCGGTTTGGAGGACAATAGGGTTTTGACTGACAAAAATAGAGTGGGATAAGAAACAGCACAAATAAGTGGAATTGGGAGGGACGTAGGGGTGTCGAACTCAATCAGAGAAGGGGCCAAAATCTAAAATCCAGCCTAAATCGCGGGCCGAATGGTTTACTGAACAGTCATAAATTGTCATTGTGATGGAAACGCAGTGGAGTGCAGTGATGACAGCGCGGTGCGGGCCACATTGCAAGGCCTGGTGGGACGGATTTGGCCCGCTGGCCTTGTGTTTGACACATGTGGTTTAGAGAATGGTACAGTCTTGGGGAGTTAGGACATGAAAATTAACAGTATTTTAAAACAGTATATGACTAAAGGTACCCACATATATGTTACTAGTGTATCCCTGGAGAAATGAGATTCGTTTTGACTGAAGTATTTTTTAGGTTGTATTTTCAAGGATGGATTAACCTAAACAGCAGCTAATGGATAGAAAAATCTTGGTTCAGAATGAGGGAGCAAGGTAAGAATAGGCCTGGAGTTGAGAATATCTCAATATGTGAGGGCCTGTTAAAACACTGCGGAGTGGAGGGTTGTGGGGGTGGGGGGGAGTAGATGTGATTGCCTCCTTCTAGTGTTTTCTCCTGGGAAGATAACTATAGCTATTTAAAGGGGGGTCTCAATGGCAAGAGGACTTAAGGGAAGGGAGAGATTACTTTTACCTAGACTTTGTCTATTTTTTGGTTTGTTTTTTACTGAAAAAGAGAATTCATATTGTTTTGAAATTTCACTTTTTACTTAATAATAAATAGTGTGCCCCATCTTTGTCACAACAAACACTGCATATAGAGGATGTTTGGGAAAAATGACTTCATGAAGGCATTTAAACGATCATGAATGTTATGCATGATTTAGAGGGAAATGATGTAATGCAAAACGAGCTAGGACTAGTCTAAATTGAGGTAAACCTGAGGTAGTAGGAGCAGTAGGGATGTTTGGAATAATGGAGATATTTATTGGCAGGGGAGATTCCAGGATCTCGAAGGTGGTTTTCTCAGTGAGGCTCACCCATTGTACTCCGGGTCTGCTGACCCCTGTGATTTCTCCAAATGTGCAAACTTGACTACGTAATCTGTGGTTGTGGGGAACTGCATTCACATTCACCCCATAAAAGAAAAAAAAACAAAAAACAGGAAAATACGTATGTGTGGCTCAGTTGGTGAGAATATCATCCTGTACACCACAAGGTAGTGGGTTCAATTCCTGGTCAGGCACATACCTAGGTTGTGGTTTTGCCTGGTTGGGGCGTTTATGGGAGGCATCCAATTGGTGTTTCTCTTTCCCTTCTCCCCTCCCTCCCTTTCTCCCTTCTACCTTTCTTTATAAAGTCAATAAATACATATCCTCAGGTGATTTTTTTTTTAAATGCATAAGAGATTTGGGGAGAGGACTGAATAGGTAAGGGGTTTGTTTTTGTTTTTAAGTTTTGAGGACTTGGGAGACTAGTGATGTCATTAAACACTAGCAGACGTGCAGAGAACAGGAAGGAAGATAGGCTTGGTTGGAATAAAACATGCATGGGTGTAGGACATGGAACAGAATTGGGTTATAGATCAGCATACGTTAATAGCTGCAGTCTCTGTCAGGAAATTTCCCAGGAGCTTCTGCACTTTATTATTAAAAACTTGCTCATCACCATTTTTTAAGCCAAGACTTAGACTTGAGGCTCCTCATGGTGGTTCTGTGGCAGGTATGCAGAATTTTTTTTTGTAAAAATGTGAATTTTTCTTTCTTACATGCTACCATAGTATTAGAATAATTAATTTAGAGCAGATTTAAGGTTATTAGCTAAACCAAAAAAGTATATTTTTAACCATTAGTATCTATATTTATAGTAAGAAACGATTATGTTGGTTTATTTGAAAGCTTATTCTTAAGCCAAAGCAGTGGGAAGTATTTTATGGTGCTTTCCAGGTAGATACTCTGTTTTGGATTCAAAAGTCCATACTGTACTTCAAAGTGCTGGTGTATTAATTGCAAATTGTAGCCCTGGCTGGCATGCTCAGTGGTTAGAGCATCGGCCTGTGCTCCAGAAGGTCACTGGTTCACTTCTGGTCAAGGGCACATACCTGGGCTGCAGGTGAGATCCCTGGCCTTGATTGGGACGTGTGTGGGAGACAGCCAATGGTTGTGTGTCTCACATAGATCTTTGTCTCTCTCACTCTCTCCCCCATGTCCTTCCTTGCCACACTCTAATAGTCAATGGAAAAAAGATCCTTGGATGAGGATTAACAAACAAAAAAAAGTTTCATGTAGTTACTAAAATTGACCTTTTAAAATTACAATACTTTGTCTATGGTATTGAAAAATACGTTAGGTTTAGGAAATAGCACGTATGTGCTGTAGTGCAGTAATAGAGAAACTTTGAAAACTCAATATTACAATACAATCAACAAGTAATTTATCCTCTTCATAAGGCAACTGAAATAACTTCCAATTCTGGATTTTCTTATAATAGAAATTATTTACATCTGAGAGTTAAAATATTCCTTTTCCTCATCTGAATCTAACTTAGAAGAAATAATGCTAATTTGTTTCTAAAGTATTGCTTTTCCTCTTAACTTTAAATTGTATTTTAGCTGGCAACAAACAGATTTAGTAAAGCAGTTCTAAGGGAATGGAGATGTGGTTTAGGAGAAAAGGGCAATTATAAGGAAGGATGGAGGAAGTAGATGAGAAAAACGAGATGAAGTCTTAATTGTTTTTCTCCAGAATTAAAAAGCTTTACTATTTCTAATTATGAGGTAAAAATATTTCTCAGTGAAAAATTCAGACAACACAAAACTGTAAAATTTCTGAAAATTTTCCCAGTTCTACAGTCCAGGGAAAATGGTCTAGACTTTGTCAATTTTTTGGTTTGTTTTTTACTGAAAAAGATAATTCATGTTGTTTTGAAATTTCACTTTTTACTTAATAATAAACAGTGTGCCCCATCTTTGTCACAACAAACACTGTCCTAACCACTAGATGTGGTGGGTAGAATAGTCATGTTCTCTGCCTTCAGATTAGGGTCTAATAGAGGATTTATATATGTTAATTATGATATGGTACGATCAATACTTTGAAAACAAAGTATAGATGGTACATAAGATGGACACAACCTAAATTTGAGGGACGTTGCCAAACTTCCTGGAGCAATGAATGAGAAAGCTGACTGGGAAAAAGTAGTAGTTGATAATTGTTGAATATTGTTTCTCTCCAGTTAAACTGTCAACTCTTTAAGGGCAGATTCTCCAAAGGCCAGGGCATAACAATGTTCAGATTTTTCTTATCCTAAACATTAAATTTTGTCTTGGGAATATTTAGGTCCTATGGGAATATAAAAGTATTGCATCCTGATCTTTGTTTGGGTGTCAAAAAGGAAATACTCTCCTTTGACAATAAATGGGATATCTGCATTTTATTTTATAGTCTGTCCTTGTTTCCCTGTCTAAACAAACTGATCTTTGTTCATTCTTTTCTCCTTTGCTATTTGTCCAAGGAATAGTGAAATAGTTGCTGCACATTTGGTTTTAAACTTATGTCCCTTTGGCATTTAAGAATTTAGAGTAGTTTATATTATACTCAACTAGAGGCCCAGTACATGAATTTATACATGGGTGGGATCTTCCTGGCACACCCTGATTGGGGCCAATCAGGCCAGGCTGGCTAGGGGGAGGGACTGAGGGCAGTTGACTGGTTGGCCCCACCCCAATCAAGGTGGGGGAGGCTAATTGGGGGCGGGGCTGGCCAGGGGGAGGGGCTGAGGGCAGTTGGCTGGCCAGCCCCACCCCCTGTTCGAACTCCTGATTGAACTGATTGAATTCCCAGTTGAGGGGACAATTTGCATACTAGCCTTTTATTATCTTACCCAGTAAAAAAACATGCAAATTAATCATCACTCCACTACACCCACAGCCAATCAGAGCAAGTATACAAATTAACCCAATAAGACTGGAGGTTAATTTGCATATGCAGGTGTGGAGCAGAGTGAAGCCTTTATGAGAGGAAGGTGGGGCGGCGGAGGGAACTACTGGAGTGGTGCTCCAGACAGAAGCAAGGACTTGCCAGCTCCGGAACCAAGACATGCCAGTTCCCAGGTAAGCCAGGAGTGAAGCCAGGGGAAGGAAGGCCTATTCTTGCATGAATATCATGCAGCGGGCCTCTAGTATAGGCTAAGTTGCTTTTCAGTTGCATGTGATGTATATTCCTTAATTCTAAGGTTCTTTACAGAAAGACTTCATTACCTTTATTGGTGAAGAAAACATTATCCTATGTTTAATATTTTCCATATACCTTTATGCCTTGATTGTCCACGGAAAAAAGTCAGCATTTGAAAACATTAAGGATAGCTTCTCTGCTGAGATTTAGAATGATGATTCTGCAACACTTGGCCAATAGGTGTGGTCTTCCCATGGCTGTGTTCTAGTTACCACTTCATCATAGTATGACCTTACTAGTAGGCAATATTTTAGAATGTAGCATTGCTTCAAAAAGGAAAAATGTTGACTTTTGGACTTTTCATATTTGATGTAAAAACAATCAGGCTTATTCAACCCTTAAGTTTCCTGAAGAATATAGTGTTTCACTGTTTTACTAGTAATTAAGTTCTTAATTGAGATAATACTGAAAATGATGGTCATTTTTTCAGAGAATATTTAGGTTTAAAATGAAGCTAGAGTTAAATTGTACCCATTCCTGGGCTTGTTCAGAAATATGTATATACCAACATATAATTCATCTGCCCATTTTTGTTTTAAATTTTTATTTTGAAATAATTATAAACTCACAAATAGTCACCAAAAAAATATACAGGGAGTCCTCTTGTACTCTTCAGTTTCCACCAATGGTCAGACCTTCCATATAATGCAATATCAAGTCTAGAAAACTGTCATTGGTACAACCCAGTTTATTCAGATTTTACCGATTTTACAAGTACTCATTTGTGTGTGTATATGTAATTGTTATCACACGTGGATTTGTATAACCACCACAAGGAAGACAATTATTCTACCACAAAGCTGCCTCGATAGCCACTATCCCTTTCCTAACACCTGGTGACCACTAAGCTGTCTTCCGTCTCTATACTTTTGTTATTTCAAGAATGTTATATAAAAGGAATCATACAGTGTGAACCTTTTAAGGTTATTTCTCCCTCCCCCTCTTCTCCCTCCCTCCCTACTAACCTAATTCCCTTGAGGCCCATCCAAATTGTTGCATGTGTCAATAGTTTTTTTTCTTTTTATTGCTGCATAGTATTCCATGGTGTGGATGTACCAAAGTTTAACCATTCACTCTTTGAAGGACATGTGGGCTGTTAAAAATGAAGCTGCTTATATCACATGTACAGGATTTTATTTGAGCATATGCTGTCATTTCTCAGGGATAAGTGTCCATGAGTACTAATGTTGTGGTGCTTAAGTTCCTCTTTAATTTTATAACAAATTGCCAAGATATTTTCCAGAGTGATTACCATTTTATAACCCGCTAGCAATGTATGAGTGGCCCAATTTCTCATGCATTCTTGCTAGCATTTGGTGGTGTAACTTATTTTAGCCACCCTGGTAGATATGTAGTGATAATCTTATTGTCTTGTGGTTTTAAGTTGAATTTCCCTGATGGCTATTGATGTTGAACATCCTTTTTATATGCTTATTTGCCATCCACATATTTTCTTAAAAATTTTTTTAAAATATGTTTTTATTTTAGAGAGGGAAAGGGAGAGAGATAAACAACCATGAGAGATACTTTCACTGGCTGCCTCTTGTACACCCTACTGGGGACTGAGCACACAACCTGGGCATGTGCCCCAACCGGGAATCAAACCTGGGACCTCTTGGTCCATGGGACTACATGCAGTCCACTGAACCACACCAGCCAGGCCACATATCTTCTTAAGTGAAATGTCTACTTGTGACATTTGCTATTTTTTTTTTCTTGAGCTTTGAGAATTTTATACATTCTAGCCCTTTTTCAGATATGTGGTTTGCATATATCTTCTCCCTATCTGCAGCTTAATTTTTTCATCCCCTTAACAGTCTTGCATAGAGCACATTTTTATTTTTTATGAAGTCCAGTTTATTTGTTTTTCCTTTTATGGGTCATGCACTTTGTGTCAAGTGTAAAAATT